TACATTATATAATTATATGTATAATAACATCTTAAAAGAAAATAGTGTCTCCCTGGGAAAAATACTGATGTTTTTGCATTGAGTTAATGAGCAATTCTAAGATGGAGGCAATATAAGACGCTGTTAGAGCTGATTCAGTAGCTGCAGTGTGGTCCTCCCCAGACACATAGTGAATATTTCTGAAAAAAAGTGGGCATAATGATATCTTCCTTTTATCCTTTCTTTCAGTTTCTTCATATGTCAGATCAGTTTCTGGGAGCTGTTATGTTGATGTGTACTGGTCAAATAAACTCATCCTTACCCAGTCTCTTTCCTCTGTCAGTATATTCCTCACTTGTTGAGGATGTCTGCCATTATTTCAGCCAGCTATGCTAAGGCCAGACAGGGCGTGTATTTTCTAGATAAGTTCTGGCCTTTGTTTCTTTCCTTTACATGCAAAAATAGCTGTTCAGATGGTGTAGATGGTGTAGAAATACTTGTTGATAAAGGAACAGTTGAATTAATTTACTGTTAACAGGTCATATTGTCTGTATTTGAAAAATCATTAGTTATTAAGTAGTTTAAAACTATTTTGTTACTATTTTTTTGTTATTACTTATTGCTGACTTATACAGAGCCAATACTAGACATTTTCCTCTCCATTTCTCTTTAGAATACAGCTGGAGAAGTAACTTTTCGTGAAATTTTTAACTGTTGGTTTTGGGTGGGATCTTAACTGAAATAGTTAAAACAGCATCAGGAATAAGTTCCTTTAAAAGCTTAGTATAAAATGAATAAGTAACCAGAAAACCTATTTTGATGTAATAATTTTTAAGTGTTGAATGTTCCTCATCCAGTCAGCATTTTGTAAATACATGCGTGAATGTGTGATATATGGATGGAAATAGAAAGAAAAGTGTGGCTTCTTCATAGTCTGCAAAACAAAACTTTATCATCCCTCCACTTCCAAGAATAATTGGGGGGGGAAATTTTCCAATGTCTTTTAAAGTTTTTAGCACTCTGGCTTATTAAAATATCATAAAAACATGTCTGTTTTGCATGATACTGAGCTCAGATGCTTCTGTGTTACAAAACTCAATTATATACCAGCAGATATATTTAGTACATAACTTGTTAGCTTACTCTGCAACCATATTACAATACTCTGCAAGCTTCTCAGCTGTGGCTGAGGTGTGTATTTTTGGATTAAAACAGTTTAGCAAATCCTGCTGTGCAGTGAAACATTAAGAAAGCCATGAAGCAAAGCAGAAATGGGAAGCTGTACATCATAATGTTAATCCAGGAGACTTTAGCAGTACTTAGTTAGTTTAGATTTCTAAACTGCTTTTTAGATTGAAGAATAATCTTCTTGGTCTGACTGCAAGTGTGTTGAAACCACTGTGCTGTAAAAGGGACTGTCTGGAACAAATAATCTTGTATAATGCTTTTTTGCGCTCTCGTAATACACAGCAACAAAACTGGTTTGTTTGGTGAATACCAAAACCGTTGGAGATCTTTAATGTTGACCGTTAGCAAAATATTATTTTTAATTGACTCTTGTTCAATTTCCCAAAGAAATGCAAGTATGCTCTGGACTTCTCAGAGTGGCCAGTAAGCACTTATCTCTGCTATAGCAGGTTGATCTGGCGGTTGCTGATGTGTGCTGTGTACAGAAGATGGCTGGTCACCCAGCCTGACCTGTTTGCACAACGTGGTGCATCAGATTTATGATATTCATATTTCATTTTCTTCAAATAAATTTGGACTTGCATCTTAATAACAAATCCTTTCAAGACTCAAATTTTGGCTTTCAAAAAAAGAACTGCTTAAAAATAGTGACAGAATTGTCAGACAATTTTCACAAGCCTAAGAATTAATGTTTTGACAAGAACCCGATAGAAAGTCAAATTAAAAATAATGAAGGGAGAGGGGAAGAAAAGCATGCAATTTTCGTTCTATCTTCTGCTCCATAACATAATGAAGTGTTTTGGTTTTGAACCAGCTATGTCCAAAATGGGTTGTATGTATTGTGTCCTGAAAGCTGAAGGGAGTAATGGGATTGCTTTAGCTTTGTCTGAAGATCAGCTGTTAAAAGTTGAAAAAAATCAATATGAACTTCTTTGTTTTAAACCAATAACAAGACCCAAGATATTTTTCTGAAGTGAGAGGATAAGTCTGTCTTTACTTAAACAGAAACCTCATCAAGTCTTATCTTTGAACTATTGGTTTTTCTTTGTTGAAGACCTCTTTAAGAGTCCTAAATGCTAATGAGGGAACCCATTTACTAAAAAGGCCACTTCTGTCTTTGCTGAAGGCTCATTCTTCTGAAGTTGCATATTTTACATTACAGTTTTTCCATTTCAATTAAGTATGTTATTATCGATAATTTTATAAATTCACAAGTAATGTGACTATCATGGGAAGAGAGGTAGGCTGTATCTGTTTTCTTTTCCTCCTGATGTTTAGAAAAAATAAAATGAGAAGAGAAAGCTGTAGAATGAATTTTTAAAATTCCATTTAATCAAGATTTGTTCTAATAGCAGGATCGCTCTTATGAATAAGATGTGTGTTGAGGTGTTGGTTTTGTTTGGTTTTTTTTAACATCTTTTAAATTGAGAGCTGATTTTTGACCTGAGGTTTTAGTAAGCTAAATTGGTTGTTTCACTGTCTTCATTGTGATATGATAGAATCCTGCCAAATGTTTTTTCCACTCATTGCTTTTAGTACACCAAGGTTTGAAGTTTGAGACTTGGTTAGTTGGTAAATACAGTTAATTATGGTTCCATTGACTAATTTTCTGTCGCAATTTTATTGTGACTTTAACAAAAAAAAAAAAAGAAAAGAAAAGCTCAACTTGGCTTCCTCATAGCTTTCCTGTACAAACAACAGATTTATAACATAATTCCCTTGATTTAACTTAACGTCTTACTGCTATTCCAGAACTATCAAGACATTTTCTTGCAAGAAGGGATTTAATGTTGGAACAAGACCACCTGGATTTAAAGAGACATGGTGTTATAGTAGTTAATGGATCAAGATAAACAGTGATTGTTCTTGAACTGATGAAATATAACTCCCTTGCTTTGATAGAGAAATGTCTGATGGCTGTTTTTTGTCAAATGTGAAGTGCTGTTTGTTCATGAAAATATTTACCCTAATAATGTAAAAAGAACTTTAAAAAATTAACAATATTTTTGTTTAGTTTATACTTTGCTCTGCTTTCATGTTCTATCTTCTGTCTGTTAACTGGCAAATGCTATCTGATTATTTCATTGTTGTGTACAGCAGTTCTCATGTCTTGACTAAAATTATGTTTTCTAGATTTCATCATCCAATCCTCAGTCCTCTTGAAAGCAGTTTCCAGCTGGAAGTAGATGTGCTTGCTCATCTCTTAAAGGCTCAGACTCAGATCTCAGAGTGGAAGTTCCTTCCGTCCCTGGTCAACTTGCACAGTGCTCACACAAAACTACAGACTTGGGGTCAAATTTTTGAGAAACAGCGAGAGACCAAGAAGCACCTGTTTGGAGGGCAGTCTCAGAAGGCTGTACAACCTCCACACCTCTTCCTCTGGCTGATGAAGCTCAAAAACATTCTCCTTGCCAAGTTTAGCTTTTACTTTCATGAGGCCCTTAGTCGACAGACAACAGCATCTGAAATGAAAACTTTGACTGCTAAAACAAATCCTGATTACTTTGGGAAAATTTCCAGCTTCATCCGGAAGTATGATGCTGTCAATGTTTCCTTAATTTTTGACAATCGTGGATCAGAGAGTTTCCAGGGACATGGTTATCACCATCCCCATTCATACAGGGAAGCCCCCAAAGGAGTGGATCAGTACCCTGCGGTGGTGTCTCTGCCCAGTGACAGACCTGTTATGCACTGGCCCAATGTGATCATGATTATGACTGATAGAACCTCTGACCTCAACAGCTTGGAGAAGGTTGTTCACTTCTATGATGACAAAGTCCAAAGCACGTACTTTCTGACTCGCCCTGAACCTCACTTTACCATTGTAGTTATTTTTGAGTCCAAGAAGTCAGAAAGGGACTATCATTTTATTTCTTTTCTCAATGAAATTTCACATTCCCTTAAGAACTCCAAAGCTTTTGCAAGCTTGAAGCCTGGATCCAAAGGGTGAAATACAGACTGTTACAAATTGTCAAGGCAGAATGTCAGCCTTGAGGGAGCTGTAGCTTTCAAGAGTTACATAAATTCATGATTCTCAGAGTCTAATTGAAAAGGAACTTTTTTTTTTAATGTTATAAGTTCCTTTCTTTTAAGCTAGCAGACACTTGAAAAGTATTTTTGGGCAGTACTCATTGGGGCAATTTAATTGTGGGGTACTAAATAGCCACGGTGGGATTTTTTGGTGTGGTTTTCAATATTCAGTATGATTTATTTTTTCAGTCCACAATTTTGTTGCCTGTATCAGAAAGGAATATATGCACTTTATCTTAGTCTGATCACTGACTGTCTTCTACAGAGTTTATTGAAAATGTGGTAAGGATGTATCTTTTCAGAAAACTGCATTGCCTGACAGGAATGATTTCTGGGAACTAAATGCTGATGCAAGGGAATATTAGAAAAAGTGAACCTTCAAGGATACATTTTAAATAAAAATATGAGAATCAGGAAAAGCACTATTGTTGATTATAATTTAGTTTTCAAAGGGTTTAAAATGATAATTGAGGTCTCTGATGCTCTCTGTTAAGCACCAGTCTCAGTTCTAGATGCCCTATGTCAGAAAACTTGGTCATTGCTCTAGAACTTGGACTGGGGCAAGAAAAACTGCAGCATGGGCTGGAAGGCCTGTGTTCACTGGAGCGCTGTGACAGTGTGGGTACAGGAATAGTCTTGGCTCAGAGTAACTGAAGGAGACAAGCTGAAATTGCACAGGTGTTCCAGAAGGAACAGCTCCATGGAAAAAGCAGTAAAGCTGTTTTCAAATTGTGCTTTTGTCTGGCTAAGTTAAAAGAGAAGCAAAGAAAAGCAGTAGGAAATGCCCTTTGTAAATGATTTATTTTCTAGTTTGCTGTTTATCTCAGCCTGGATTTCTTTTCAGATTTTTATAAATGCATAGTTTTTCAATCTGTTCAGTTTTAAATAATTTAATAATTAAGCCAAAACACTGGGGATTTGGATTTAAATATATAGCCTATGCAGTGTGTTTACCTCATTCTAAAATGTCTCTTTCACCACTTCTAGACTGCAGGTTTGGAAAAAGTATATTTTCTAGTTACCCTGAAAGTGCTTTAATTTGGAAATCAGTATTTCCAAATACAATAAAAGGGTCAATTTGGCTGTACCTGTAGCCTTACATTGCAGGGTTCTAACTGTTAGCTATGCAGTTGTGCACATGCTTTTGTGGGGATTCAGGAGCACTTATGTACATATATAAGTGTAGTAAAATTAAGTCATTAGTTGACACTTGGTAAGGTGTAACATCAGGTTTAATTTAAAAGGGAGTTTAGGTCAAAATGTTGGTTTCTGTTAAGACTGAAATATGAAAGGTACCATTGCAAACATGTCTTTTAATGATTCCCTTTCTCTCCCACTTAAAGTTCTGGTAACTTGTCTTGCCTGGCTGCAAGTGCTGATTTTTTAACAATCATATAAGCACATTCTGTTCTCAAAATGCAAGCTCTTACTTGCCACTTTGTGCTAAATGGAGCCTTCCGTGCTTTGCTATAACTGTTGTGAATATCTGCGCTATTGCCTTTCACCTGAAGTCTCAGTCTGACTTCAGCATCACTCTCAAAAGCTCAGTCTGCTCTTTGTCATTGGAAAATAACCGGAGTTGCAAATATAAACTGGAGAGTACCTGTTTGTAACAGCGTTACACTTTGCAGCTTGAATTGCTCTTAACAGGACAAAGTTGCAAATGATAGTATTGAGAGAGTTTGAGTGCTTCCCTCCGTGGGACAGTGACCTTGTAATAACATTGTAATTTTGACTTCCTCAGCCTGAGTAACAAGAGTCTGTTGCCAGAACTGATTCCCAGTCTTCAGCAGTGTAATAAAGTGTTGTACAAAGTCTGTCTGCCTGCACAATATTTCCCTGTCATACTAACTATCTGTGGAAAAGGGGAAAGAAAACAGGAAAGAGACGTGGTACAGACACCTTCTTGTTCATTTCTGAGTTGCAGGGTATGAGTTGGAAGAAGTGAAAGAGAGATCTGCTGCCCTTTGGAGCAACTTTTACCAGTTGTTGAAATGGCTAGAGGCTGTTCCCAGTGGTTTTTATGGGGAGAGGAAAAGGAGGTGACTGTTCAGCAGACCTGATAGTTCACTTCCCATGCTCCTGCCACTGTGTTTGGCAAGTGGTGTCTCAGAACAGGGAAGGGATGTTAGGTGATGTTTCTGTGCAGGAGGAGGTGAGACCTGCTTTGCCTCTTATCAGTTCTGAAGTGGTTTGCTGCAGTTTTCTTCACAGAATCTTGGAGAAACAGCCAGAGGGGCCTTCTGACTCATGGGAAAGAAGTTCTGAATATTTTGGTTGATGAAGAACCAAAGGGAGCCAGAACCATTACCCTCATGGTGTGGGAAGGGAGGGAATGGGAGAGACGTGCAGGCGGTGCAGAGAATTGGGTGCTGGAGAAACTTTTGTGGAGCTGTCTGGGTTTCAGAGTCCTGTCCCTGATACTCTCCTTGTTAAGATCTCAGCCTTAAATTAATACAAGATGGGAAGCAGAAAATTGAGACTGTAGGAAGTAGCTTGGATGAGAACAGGTGAAGCTGAAGAGAGGTGACACTAGAATCAGTATCAAATAGTTTTGCAGAGTTGAGGTGTGCTATACCAAAAACTGTGTGCGTGGTGTGAGTGTGTGTGATGAATGAATATAGATTTGTTAAACCCATGAAAAATTCTGGTACAGTTCGTATTTGTTGCTTTGAGGAGTTTGTTTTAAATTACAAATGAGGTAATTGGGAGTCTGAGTTGGGTTCAAACTGAAAGAGGGGAAATTTAGGTTAGATATATGGAAGAAATTCTTTGCTGTGAGGGTGGTGAGGCACTGGAACAGGTTGTCCAGAGAAGTTACGGACGCCATACTTGAACTGGTGTTCAAGGCCAGGTTGGATGGAGGTTTTAGCAACCTGGTCTAGTTCAAGGTGTCCCTGCCCATGGTAAAGGGGTTGGAACTAGATGATCTTGAAGGTCCCTTCCAATCCAAACCATTCTATGATTCTATATCAATGATGTAAAATTGGCTAGACCAGTAATGAAAACCTGCATAATTAAGCGAGGGGGAGAAAATGTCTGTGGAGTAAGTAAAGGAACCAGAAACTCAGTAACTGAAAAAAAATACATTCATTACTGTAAGAACTGGAAAACAAATACACTTTTGCTGAGCTGGGTGATATCCTGCCTGTCAGCTTTTCCTCTGCACCAGTGTAGCTAAGCAAGATTAAATGTGCTAATGTGCTTTAAAAGTCTTGCATAAATTACTACTTTAAATGCAAGATATAAAGATATTTATGATGGTGTACTGAAAGCCATCACTTCCAGACATATTTAAACATATTTAAAACAGGTACTGAGATTTGATATTCCAAGTGCCACTCAGATTGCTTATAATAGCAGCGTGAAGCTTATCTTGCATGTACCTCATCACTTACTTCAGTCCATGAGGATTTTGGCAGAATATTTAATTTAATATCCTTTTGCCTGCAGTGTGATTTTTGACAGCAAATGTATTCTAAGAACTCCTAGGTGTTTTATATTTATGTCTTGTAAGCTGTTTTCTTCAACATGTGGTGTTCAGGTTTTTTCCTTGAATAAAATATCTTTCCTTTTCTCCTGCCTTTGCATGGAGAGTGCAGGGAGTGGAAACTATTAATATATTTTGTATTGTGCTGCAAAGGACCGCAACATATGCATAATATTCAGGTTTTAATGATCTAAAGGTAATGTAAGTTCCTGGTACCTATTTGAATACTAACACTTATTGTTTATCTAATTGACTTTAAAAAGAAAGTCTGCACTATAACTGGAAGCAATTTTATGGCACTCACACAGTTAGTTATTGCTCTGACCTGCTCTTCATATACGAACCTTTTGAAACATTTGTGATCATTCTACTGGTAGTTCTTTGATATCATTTATCTGAGGATTCCTTGTGTAGGTCAGTCTGCTGCTGCCTTTTACTGCACTGGGTCCTAATCTTCTCATAACCAAGCTTTGCTTAAGAAAATCAGTGTGCTATACTTCATTCCTCAAGTCCTGTTTTTTGGCCCGGTGCCTACAACCCCTCCTCTTGCAGTAAGCACAGCTTGGCTTGTCCTGGGCTTGTGGTCAGCTTTGTGGTTGCTTCCAGAAGTGCTGGCACTAAGCTTAGTTGGCTAGAAAATTTGGTGTTTCTGCCCTGTTTTCTCCCTAAGTCCTGTTTTCAGACTGAGAGATGTAAGCCAGCCCTGCTGAGGTGGATGCAGCTGAGGCCAAGCACTGCTTATTTGCTGGGGCTCTGCCTGAGCCTCAAGAGGAGTAGGTCAGTGTCCTGCCCGCTGGGGACAGCTGTTGTGTGGCTCAGCAGGGATGGCCTTCGGGCTGCGATTGTGCAAAGGCAGGAGCCGTTATGGGAAGAGCAGGAGAGGCTCTGGAAATGAGAATGCTGACAAAGGACAGCAATAGCATAATGCTTTGCAGAGCAGGCAGAAACAATATAGAAGTCAAATGTAAGATGGAATTGGACTTTGATTTCCTGTTAGCAAAGGACTGATTTAAAGATTAAGTCTCGTTTGGAGGATAAAGGTATCAGATTTTTGCCATGAAATTGCTTTAGGTATTCAATCATTTTCCTCCAGGAACTGCCGCTTTCCCTCTCTTGTGCGTGAATGTATTCAATATATTGCCTGACTTAGTTTGCAATTGTTATGGGGCTTTTCTGGGAGAGTTTGCAGGCCTGAGTTCAGTTCTCTCCTAACTTTCAACGTTGCGTTGCAGCTGCTGGGTTTGTGGTCGGATAACAAAGTTCTCCACCTTGCAGCTGGGACCTGGCTGTGCCCTGGCCACACATAGCAGCATGAGAATAGCAAAATAAGGGAGGAGACAAGTCACTACATGATGGGCTGGAGCGGGTGACAGCTCTGGGACAGACAGGCAGGGAGAAAACAGATGCTGAAGGACTGCATTGTAGATGGACTGTGAGCAGAAGATTTTTGTTGGCCCCTCTGTATTGTGGCCTAATTTCACAGAAATCCATATAAATTTTATGTCCTGGAAAAGCTATGCTAGACCCCGCCTGCAGTTGCAGCTGCTTGTTTTATGTGACTTCTTTGAAATAACTATACTGTTTCCAGGATGGTGGTGTTTAATCTTTAGGTACCAACAATCTTGGCAAAGCGGCTGTTTTTGGGCAGGTGATTAAGGCAGCCTTTGTGGTATCCCATTGTTAGATGGGATATGCTGCTACCATGCTATAAGTGAACATCTGAAGCTTCAGAGCAATGCAATATTGTGCTTTATTTGTGCAGGTCACTGCTGATAAGATAGAATATGTAGTGGCACTAAACTTTTGGCTCTGTGATGTATGCTTCATTTGCTACAAAGGTACTGAGAGGTTTTTTAGTATGTAAAAGTTGAATTGTTCAGATCAGAGCCAAAAAGAGCCAGCATCACCATGATCCTGTATTGGGATGCACAATATGGAACCAAAAATTGTAAATTTCCTGGGGAAAGGATGACATGATCTTCGGCAAAATGAGGGCCAGTGAGAGATGCTAAGGGAGGCTGGAGGTGTCTAATTCCCAGCCTTTGATTTGTCTTGGAGTTAGTCCTCTCTAGAAACACAAGCAGAGGGCCTTGTAGTACAGAATGGCCTGATGGTCTCTTAAGCATTTACTTCATCCAAGTTCAATGTTGTCTTTCACTAGAAGATTCCAAGTCAACCTCTCACTCTTCTGTGTGGTTGTGCAGATGTTCAGCAGAGCCTCCAGGTATTTCCCCTACTTTCTCAGGTGAGGAGCAAACTTCCTCTCCCTGGATCATTCTCTTGGCAAATGGGAGATGAGAAGTTAAATTGTCTGAAGAGGAGAAACTCATCTGCTTTGTGGGTGGGTGCAGTCATCACTGTGTGAATAGTGAACAATAGCAAAAGGACCACCCTGCTTTCAAGAGGATCAAGGGTAGTGACTGCAGCCTGGAGTTGCACATTCTCCCAGTGCACTTGGCTCTGATTCTTCAGGGACTGGTAGTGATGCTTCACCAAGGACTGCCTGTGACTGCCTGAGACCTCCATATCACCTAGAGGTAAAACTCCAGGAATGTACAAGGCCTAAAGAATGAAAACTTGGGTTATGGTACCATGCATTTAATGTGAGGGATCAACATTAGACTTGTAGTGGGAGACCTGAGGTTGCTTTTGCCTCCAGCAGTACAGCTGGCTCGTGTCCCCACTCCGAGAGATGCCAGCTCTTATCAGAGGGAATGGGGTGGGGGGTTGGGAGCACTAACAGGTTTAGCCTTCTGTGTTTAATCTGATGATGTCCAAACTGTTTAAAAAAGTTGGTGGATTAATTCCCATTCTAGGTGTAGAGCTTGCCTCTGAGTAAAGTGCCTGGAGCTCTGCTGAAGGCAAGATGTGTAAAGTGAGTAAAAGCTATCTTTCCCTTTTCTTCATGCATCCCTGTCCAGAGAGAGAAAGAGCAAATTACTTTGAACTGTCATTGGATAATAGCTTTTTGGAAAAAACCTGATCCTCATTTATCGTTCCAGAAGCAAGGACTTACTGCAATGAATCAAGTCTTCACCCCACCCTCCCAAGAAATTTATCTACAATTTCACCTGCAAATTCAATACAGTGGGATGTAGCTGATGAACTATCTCCACAGTGAAGTTATACTCTGCACTCAGACTCGCTTTGCTTGGAGGACTCCAAAATTTTGTACGCTGAGTTTTCCCAACACAGCAGTTGCCTCAAGCTGGCTGACCTGCTGACTGTACCTCACAGTGGGAAAGGTGGGAGGCAAATTTCCAAAGTTGTGCATTACTCACTCTCAGGTGTAAAAATAGATGGGTATAAATCTTGGTCCAGCCTAGTGGGATTTGTGGCACTATCTAATTTTTCTTGCTGTCCCTGTAGACTGAAATACCCCTTAGACGTAAGGTTCTCAATATCTAAATATGCTGTGGATGCCTCAGGCTCATCTGTACTTGGGAATGATTTGTTAAAACAATGGCTGCTACATTAGGAATGGTTCATTCTAGTTGTTTCTGACTGAAATTATAAGAGAATGGTGAAAAAAATCCCGCCACCACCTTACTGTTGAGTTTGTAGTATGTCCAAGAAGGAGGTGCAAGTTCAGAGACAGAATAATCACAAGCTCTTGCCATATCTACCTTTAAAGCTGTCAACCAAAGTATCTTCAGGGGGCTGATAAGATAATAATATATTAAAAGTGTAAGGCTCATGCTTCAGAGTGTAATTTGCTCATCAAGCACTGAGGGACTTGTCTGTCTGGAAGGTTATTCTGCACCTGTGCATTAAAAGGACTTTATTGTTTTATGCTTTTCATGTTAGCATTTTCTTAAGCATTTATAAAAATAAGGTATGCCTGAAAAGAGCCAGATACAGCTTTTTCAAAAGCTGCGAGATTCACAGACTGCAGAGTGTGGGCACTTAATTCAGCACAGGTAAACAAATTCCTATTTGCAATTTTTGTACCATTTCGTAATGCATATGATCAATATGCTAAATCACATTTTTGCCTCAGTAAAGCCAAACAACTACCACTAGAGGGTGGTGTTAGTACAGAAAGAAAAAAGTAATTTATAATCTCATTCCAGAATAAAATTATTTATACTCTCCTACGCATGTATAAGTATGGGATAGATTTTACTGCTCTAGTCAGATTTGTTTGAATCTTTTTGGCTTTCTTCCCCATAGAGTGATTTATATAGTTCTGTTTCAGCTGTAAACAGCAATAGCGGGTATCTCGTTTCATACCTTAATGTATATATGAACACTAAAATGGTGTTGTTTCATCTTCTTTATGAGAAACTTTTCTATTGAATTACAAAGAAAAAGCTATAAAAGAGCTTTTGTGATTTTTTTTGTGATTTTTGAAAACTGCCCTTCATTTAAAATTGAATTTCATTTTAGAAAAGAGGGAGTGTTTTTTTTCCTTCCTTGCCTTTTTCTTACTAAACAGTGGGAGAACTACATAATTATTTGTTTACCAAGGCAGTGCAGTATGACCTGTTAAAGGCCACGTAGGGAGCATCAAGCTAGGATTTAAGCCTAATGCAAAGTAATAGGATTTTGATAGTCTAATGTGGGCAGAGCTACTGTGGTATATAACTATATATATATATATACATATGGTATAACAGTGTGTGTTTGTGTATATATATATATATATATGTATGGAATATGGTATAACCATATATGTATATATATGGTATCACCATATATGTCTGATATATGGTTATACTGTACTAGCCAAAGTGAGGTTATACCACACCAACCCTGAGCATTAGAGGCTGAGGTGCAGGGATGGGGCAGTGCAAGGAATGGGTGGCTCAGACCCTGGGGCCAATGTTGTGCTGCTTTGGGTTATCATAGAACCATAGAACGGTTTGTGTTGGAAGGGACCTTAAAGATAATCTAGTTCCAACCCCCTGCCATGGGCAGAAACATCTTCCACCTTTCACAAGCCCCACAAGATGCTGCTGGGTGTGCTTGGGCGCGAGGTCTGTGGGCAGGTGCCTGTGCCACTCCATCGCTTCCCTTTGGCATGGAGACGGGGAGTTTTGCCAATGCTACAGCCTGCATCAACCCCAAGGAGAACCTGCAGGAGGAAGAGGAGGGGTGTGAGAAATGAAGGGAAAGTGGAGGGGACACAAGGGTAAAAGAAGGAGCAGCCAATAGGGATCTTGTCTTCTCCCATCTGTTCTCCAAGAGGAGGCACTTTCAGCATGATTTATACACACAGCGTGTACCTGCAGCATTTGGTGCAGGCATGGGCTTGCTGTGCCGGGGAGTCATGTCAGGACAGTGCCCCCAGACCACCACAAACTGCTCGAAACCTGTTGCATCCTTTTGTGATGGCAGCCAAGCTTGTGCTTCACCTTCTGCCCCCAGAGTGGGTAAAAACTCAGTAATAATTGTATTTATTTTTCCTTCTTCCATGTTGGAAGGTAGCTGGATGAAAGACATTATCTAGCTGCAAACTTTTGAGCTTTGCTGTGATCTGAAAAGCATTAGTGTGTGTTTCCCTGTTGCTGTTTTACATCACTGCACACAATGACTACGCTGCCAGGGAGGCAGTGTCCTAGCCTGAGCTAGAGTATTAAAATGATAATCACGTGGGTTTTGGTGGTGCACAGTAAACGCATTCTTGCACCATGACGATGTTGAAATCATGGCTCTTCAGGGGACAGGACGGTCCTTCAACTGATACTGTGACTGCATGCGTAGGATGCAAATACAACATGTAAAGCCACCCCATGGCGAGCTGGATTAATGGAACAGATTTTCAATGACTCATTGGGAAGATGAAATTTTCTACTTGCATTTAATCTTAGCCTGATAAATCACTCAGGGGAAAAAAACCCCAAAACCAACAGTAAAATGCATTAAATTAGTTTTCTGATGTTGAGACAGACTTGGGTTTGGAGAACTGGCAGTAGTGGGGAGCTTGGCTGACAGTGTGGGGCTGAGAGAACATGGAAGGAGGTTGGATTAAACTGCAAAGATAGGTTGGGGTGGGAGTGGCTGCAGGGCAGAGCTGAGTGTTCCAGTGGCTCCTCCTCCTTTGCATGTTGGCCACTGTGTGTATGGTTAAAAACTAATGATGTTCAGCCAGTTACTATAGCAATGGTGTGGCATGAGTTGTCATGGTGATGGAGCAGAATTTTTCATCACGTTCCTGCAGGAGGTGATGGATGCCATTTTGGGGGCTCTGAACTTGACCATTTGCCTCATATCTTTTTCCTTGGTAGAAACACTTGCACCTGCTGCAGTCAGTGAACGTGTCCTCCCAGTACCATTACCTGATTTTCCATGTCCTGGTGCTAAATTCTTCTTTCACATTTATAAAGTTAAGAACACTCTGTTAAACCATAAATTGCTAAGCTTAACCTAATTATGTGCACTATTATTATACAAGGTGTGTTAATAAAACATACTTCTGCTACTAAGGCTGTTTCTGGACACTTAATCTTCTTCACCTCTCTGTCTGCCCATGATACGACTCAATAGGACATTGGTGCCCATTTGAACAAATATAATTTTAAGCTGGTCTGAAGTAAATTTGCTTCAAATACACCCATTTGGGACAGAATAACCACAGAATCAGAGAATATGCTGAGTTGGAAGGGACCCACAAGAATCACCGAGTCTAACTCTTAACCCTGCACAGGACCACCCCCAAGAGTCCCACCATGTGCCTGAGAATATCATCCAAACACTTCTTGAACTCTGTCAGGCTTCGTGCTGTGACCACTTGCCTGGGGAGCCTGTTCTAGCACCCAACCACCCCTTGGGTGAAGAACCTCTTTCTAATATCCAATCTAAACCTCCCCTAACACGACTTCAGGCCATTCTTTCAGGTTCTGTCACTGGCACCACAGAGAAGATATCAGTGTCTGCCCCTCCTCTTCTTCTCATGAGGAAGTTGTAGACTGCAATGAGATCTCCCCTCAGTCTCCTCCAGGCTGAACAGACCAAGTGACCTCAGCAGCTCCTCATATGGCTCCTCCTCAAGGCCGTTCCCCATCTTCATTGCCCTCCTTTGGACAGTCTCTAACAGCTTAATTTCTTTCTTGTATTGTGGTGCCCAAAACTGCACACAATATTTAAGGTGAGGCTGCTGCAGTGCAGAGCAGAGCAGGACAATCCCCTCCCTCGACTACCTGGCGATGCTTTGCCTGATGCCCCCCAGGACACGGTTGGCCCTCCTGGCTGTCAGGGCACTTCTGACTCACATTCAACTTGCCATCAACCAAGACCCCCACCCCAGGTCCCTTTCCATGGCACTGCTTTCCAGCATCTCATTCCCCAGTCTGTACATACATCCAGGGTTGCCCCATCCCAGGTGCAGAATCTGGCACTTCCCCTTATTGAACTTTGTATAGTTCAACATGGTGTATGTGCTGCCTTGGAAATGCATCTTTTTTTTGCAGTTTTATTTAAATTGCCTTTGCTTTCTCTTCCTTCTTGGGCTTTAAGAGCAGTACACTATCTTTTTCCCTTACTTATGAGGTATACATCAGTTCCTCCTTGTCAGGACTTTTTTAATATAGGTGATCAATTGGACTAGTGCACTGTATGTAAATGATATTGCTTTGAGTGGTTCTTTCATTAGAAGAGCAGGTGTAATGCCTATTTTATGCCTATAGAAACCAACTGTTTCTTCAATTGTGCAAGAAAGTAACCTAGACTGCAGAGCACATCCAGCAATTTGGTTTTGTAAGGATAGAAATGTATTCAGCTTGACTTAAGCTGATGGCTATTTTAAAAGAGTAGTTCTGCTCATCAGCTGCTTTTGAAAATCCCTGAACCCTTCACTACATGTAAGTTTCTGTGCTAAACCACACACCTCAAAATGAAGCCTGATAAATGGCAGTAGCGGTGTTTCACAAGGGGGCTTACGTGCTGCTTTCATAAACGCTCATTTGCAGTCACCAGGAAGTCCGGGAAAAGGAAAATCTGAATTTGAGTTGTACAACTTAATAGCACTGATATTTCATCAGTGTCCTCAATTTCATTTTGTCCTGTGCTTTTTAACAGGTAAATTTGTGGTGCACCAGCAGAACTGTATTAATTGCCAGGGAGCATAGGAACAGTATCGGCTCAGAAACATCTTGAGATTTGGATCTGTATAGTGCTGGGTAGGAATCTGGGTTATGTTCGAGGCTGCATCACTTTGGATTTAGGAAAGTAATCGCAGTGATATGTTTTAAGTCCTTTTTGTTTTAAAAAGCTCTGATTGCTGCATGCTTCAACATATGACTAATGTGAGGAGCTCCTGTTCACAACATGCTCTGGAGTGCTCGTTCCTCTAAGCTAATCCCAACTCTTACAGCATCACTGTTGACATCTACCAAAGCTAGGGTTTTTTTTTCTTTTACTTTCCCCCTTCTTTGGAGCTTTATAATTACCCCAATAAATGATGTTAAACTCATTAATCTAAGAAACTAAGTTTTCAGAAATTCACTGAACTGTGTGGTTTCCATGTACTAATTTAAAAAAAAGAAAAAAAAAAGAAAAAGTGAGGCCTCGGGGTGAGTAAACTCTCAGCTGCAGGTTGCTGAGCTACCACTGTGTGCTGGTTCTGGTTTTCCAAACATGGGTCTGTCTTAGAGATTAGGTACAGAGTTAAGTGGACCTGTAGTCGAACCTGGTGCAGCCTTCTTCGATTGGCTTCTTAACAGGCTTCTCAGAGCCATTACTTTTACAAGAAGCTGTGTGAAATATTGGGAAAATATTGTTTCCATCTTATTAAAGATCTGGCAGGTGTAACACCTCTGTTGTATTATCTCATTGTCCTACCATTTGTTGCTTTTCATGCAAAATATTCTGAGCTTTTGCTTGCTTGAATCTTTCAAGTGCTGGACTTAAATCCAGAGTGTCTTTGGGTTGTCCCATTGACACAAAAACATGATTGCAAAGTGGGAGGCCTGTGCAGTGCCCATCTTATTCTTCGGGTGTTACATCAGCCCTGGAAGCCATTCAAAATCTCAGAGCAGGTTGTCCCTGCTCTCTGCTGGGATCTGCTCAGTCTACTTTTGTTTGGATTAATACAAGTCTGCGGTCATGGGGCAATTGCAAATAAATGAAGTATGAAAGACTTCATAGGATCTTTATCTGGATATTTATTCAGGCATAAACTGTGATGTGAATGCAGCTGGGTGATGCCAGCAAATAAATAAAGTTTTGTAAACTGTGCTATTGTTCTACAGGTATATTATTGTGTGTGACTTTTGGAGAGTGACCTCAAGAAAACTCATACCTGTGGTGGGTTTTTTTTCTACCTTATCAGTCTTTCTGATGATAAAAGAAAACTGACTTTTGAAATCATGAGTAAACTTTGGC